TGGGGGTGCTATGGCTTGCTCTGCATCACATCATTTCTGGCAGGCTCTGAAGTCCACATGGGGTTCTGGGGATCCAACCTGGACCAGCCAAGTGCAAGGCACAACCCTACCCGCTGTACTATCTCCCTGGTCTCCAAAACCCCACTTTTTAAATGGTAGATAGTGCAGAAAGGCTTTCTTTCATTGAGAACAGTATAAAAATGGGGAGCTGGGAGGTGGAAGAGTGACTTTACAGTGGAGCCATCTGACAGATACCCCCCAGGTGATGGTGATTCTATGAACCTCCCTAAATTAGGGTGATTGTGGTATGGCACTGTGATAATAGTGAGGAGAAAGTCACTTTGAAAAATCTGTGGGTCTTTATAGAACCCAGAGCCTAATCTAATCAGAGGAAATCATCAGGAAAGTTCCCACTGGAAGACATTCTACAGTGTTTGCTCAGGCCACTTCAACAGTCAAGGTCAGGCCCTGGGAGGTGGCTCCATAGCAGGTTACGTGCCTCATATGCACATTTGAAAAAAAAAAAACAACAAAACAAACTCCAAACCCAAAAACCCAAGGTCATCAAAAAGACAGAAAACCAGAAAAACATCCCTGGTGGAGCAAAGGAGACACAGGACTAAATGCAAAGTGATGCTCTAGGTGGGATTCCCGGCAGAAGGGACAGTAGGGGAAAAATGAATGAACTGAGTAAAAATGCACTTTAAAAAAAACCCAACTTTTTTTGGGGGATCACATCCAGGGACACTCAGGGGTTACTCCTGGAAGTGCTTGGGGGACCATATGGAATGCCAGGGATCAAACCCGGAATCAAACCTGGCATTAAGGGGTCATGCAAGGCAACCATCCTACCTATTGTAAGATCACTGAAAATGCACCTTAGCTAATGATATACCCATTTTTATCCCCACAATTTCTCAATGCTGGGGCCGGAGTGATAGTACAGTGGGTCGGGCGTTTCTCTTGCATGCAGCTAACCTGGGTTTGACCCCTGGCATCCCACATGGTCCCCCAAGCACCACCAGGAGTAATTCCTGAGTGCAAAGCCAGGAGTAATCCCTGAGCATCGCTGGGTGTGACCCAAAAACAGAAAACAAAAACAAACCCCAGAATTTATCAATGCTGGTTTATTCATTGTGACAAATATGCCATACTAATGTTTGATCCCCAAAACTGCATATGGGCCCTGAGCACTGTTAGGAATGACCCCTTAATACAGAATAAGCCCTGAATACCATCTGGTGTGGCACTAAAACCCCAAAATAAAATGTGGTGGTTCTGGGCAGTGTAACTAACTCGGAGGGCTGATCTGCATATTTGGAGTAAAGCAGGCTCAGGTTCCATCCCAGTAAATGCATGATTCCCTAACCCACTGCTGGGAGCAACCATCCAGCACTGAGCCAGGAGTGGGCCCTGAGCTGTCAGATGTGACCCAAAACACACACACACACACAAAAATAAGTCAGATTTGGGGCTGGGGATGTGGTTCAGAACTATAACACATACTTCACGTGCCTGAGACCCTGGGCTTGAGCGAGGAAGGAAGGAAAGAAAGAGAGAGAAAGGTTTTATGCCTTTCACAGGAGAATCTGTCTCTCATCCCTATATATATATATCTCAGAATAGACTAGCGCATATTTATTTTATACTTTGGGTCACAACCCAATGTTATAATTTTTCCCCTTTTGTTCCAGATCAGGCTTTGGGGATCTTGGCGGCTGTTGCCTTCTTCCTGTTGCATTGTCTGTTTGTTTGTTCAGCATTTCCTTTTGTACTACAAAACCCTCTTGGCTCACCTTTATAGTCCCTGCCTTAGTCCTTGAATCAATCATTTCTTCAAGGAGAACGTTCAGGTCAAGTTATACTCTTAGCGAAAACACTTTTCTGGCTGAAGTTGGTACAGATTTGTTGGGTGGGCAGGGAAAAGATTCAGCCCCCCTCTCTGCCCCCACCCCCCAGGAGGGGACTTCCCGGCAGCTGTAGCCAGAATGGCAAGTCCTTAGCTGGTGAGTGACTCACCTCTCCCAGGCTGTCTCCGCCCTCCCCCTCTTGCTGACAAGACTGTCCCTAAACCAGCCCAGACAGACGGGACCTCACCTCGGTCAGAAAGTGCCTCCACCCATGGGGCCAGCAAGGCATGCCCCATCACAGGCAAATCAGGGCTGTTACCCTTGTAGAACCCCCCAACATCTGCTCTATTATTCATAACACCTCCTACCTGCATAAAGGATGGAATCAAGGTTTCCCTCAAATTTAACCCTGCATTAAAAAATGATTATTAAAACTTGGATAAAAGGACCAGAACACTGAAGTTATTTGTATGTATGTGGTGTGTATATGTCTGTGTGGTGTGTGGATGCATGTGAATGTGGTGTGTGTGTGTGTGTGTGTGTGTGTGTGTGTGTGTGTGTGTTGCATTTGCAGTCATTTTGTTCCAGACACCTGAGCTGGGACAACTCGCCTAGGTTCCCTGAATCACAGATTGCTAGCCCCAGAAATAAACACGCGTCCCCTGTCATTTAACAGTGCTGAGATGGATCAAGAGATTTCTGACCTGTCACACATTTAATGAGATGAAAGAACTACCTATACTGGGACAGGTTTCCTGGCTTTTCAGACTTGCAAATTCCCCCTTCTTGCCTCCTCTTCCAGAAAAGTAGAAAGTACAGCTTTAGAGCCTTCGGTGGGGTGTGTTATAGCAAGACAGCACTTTGGGACACCTTTCTCTTATGGATGAATACGTTTATGAGAGTGTGCTGGAGAAGTGTCTGGATTTTAATTAGGGATTATTAGTCCCAGACACTCAGACTTGGGGAATATAGGATGTAGAAACTCAGATGTACTATCCTCCCATTCCCCATAGTCAAAATGTAATTAAATTGTTTTGAGGGGTGTGGGGTCACATTTGCTGATGCTCAGGGCTTCTGACTCTGTGCTCAGAGGTTGCTCCTGGCAGTAGTTGGGGGACCATGTGCTGTTGAGGATGGAATCCAAGTCTCCCACATGCAAGGCATGTGCTCTAACCTGTTGAGCTATTTCTCCAGTCCACAGTCAAGATGTTAATGGTTAAATCAGTAGCTTTTTGTTTTGCTTTGTTTTGGGACCACACGTGACTGTACTCAGGGATCACTCCTGGTATACTCAGGGAACCATATGGGAACCCAGGTCTGTTGCATGCAAGGCAAGATCTGTCTTATCTCTTTGGTCCCAAATCAGTAACTTTTTAACTATTTTTCTCTCATTTTGACTAAATCACCATTGTCATTGTCATCATCATTACCATCATCCTAAGCGATCCTGAGACTTTCCCTAAAAATTATAGAGATTTGTGGATTTTTTAATTAAAAATTATTTGAGAAATAGTATCTCACCCGCACGGCAAAGCCTGGCAAGCTACCTGTGACGTATTCGATATGCCAAACACAGTAACAAGTGTCACAATGCAGATGTTACTGGGCCCACTCGAGAAAATCAGGAACAATGGGAGGACAGTGACAGTGACAGTGAGAAATAGGCTTATTTCTTTTATCTTCACCACCCCGCTCCACAGCCTCACACTCTCCCCATAGGGACTCCTGACTGAGGTGTAGCGTCTGTGATCTTAGTATAAGCAGACATGAAAGACTGCCTTGGGGTTCAGAGAAAGGATCCTGGACCTAGTGTCACTTGGCATGGCTGCAATAAAGAGACAAAATTGGCATCAGGCTACTCTTCACTTGCTCTTTTGGTGACCTTCCTAGGCCTCCTGGGATATCTTGTCTCCCAGAAATTTCCTGGGGCAAGGACAGTGGGTGGCCCAGAAGAGCATCTGCAAATACATAATTACTTTGCTTTTGATGAAAAAGAAGATAGTATTAGGGACTTTAGGGATTTAGAAATTATTCAAATAGGGACCAGGGAGGTGACTCAAAGGGCTAGAGGGAAAAAAAGGGGGGCGGCTAGAGCACATGCTTTGAGTCCTGGGGTTGACCCAAGTATCTCCATAAGGGACCCCAAAACCATATATATATATATATATGGAACATTCAAATATTCCACCAAGGATTGCCCTCCTTAGCTGATTCTGCCAATGCCTGTTGCTCCTTTAGTAAGGAGTGTGAAGGAGTGTGTAGGAAAGCCTGCTTTCAGATTGGTGCTTGAGAGCACAACATATCCCTGTCTGCACAGTTCAGGTGTAAATTTATCTTATTTATCTTATGCCTCTTTATAAGCTGTATATATGTGTGTATGTATATATATATATGCATGTATGTATTTAAATCCTATTTCTAACAGAGTGCATTTTTTGTATAGCAGCAAAAAAGCAGCACCATTTTATGAGCAATTTATTTGTTTTTCTCTCTGGGGACAAAGGGGCTGTCAGTTCTTAGTCCAGGCAGCACCAGGGAGAACTCCCAGATTTGCTGTGCTGGGGGACCTGCACTGCATACAAGGCATGAGCTTTACCAATGAGCCACACCCTCGCCTCTCAGACATTTTTAAAAAATATATTTAAGAAATATGTCTAGTTTTTTTTTTCCTTCTGGGGGGGTGGGGGTAGGGCACATCCTGAGGTCCTTACTCAGGAGATCCCTGATCTCTGCACTCAGGTATCACTCTTGCGGGTTCGGGAGATCTTTCGGGGTGCCGGGGATAAAACTCGGGTAGGCTGTGTGCAAGTCAGCGCCCTTCCAGCTATAACTGTCCCTCCTGTGACTCCCATACGTCTAGCTTGTTGATTAAATTTGGACATGCGACATTGCGTGTTCTTCCCCACCTCACTCACTTCCTTCTCACGATTCAGCCTGGATAGCATTCTCTGCCAAGATACCGAGAGCTGCCTCGTTTTGAAGATTCCTGATCCATGTACTAGTGAATCTCCGACCGTCACCTTCCTTCCCGCCGGGTTTGAAGGCTGCCGCGGCATCCCTGCAGGCGCGGGAGAAGGCGGTGCTAAAGGCGAGCCGGGCGGCTGGGCGGGGCCCCGGCGCCCGATGCAAACGAGGTGGGCGTGACCCGCATATACTAGCGGGTAGCGGCGGGCCGGCTCGCCCAGCCCGGCCGGCCGAGACTGAGGGCTCCTGCGAAACTGCTTCCCTTCGGCGCAGCGGAGCCTGGTGCCGGGCAGTTCCCGGAGCGGGCCATGCCCCCGCGGGAGCTGAGCGAGGCCGAGACATCCCCGCTGCGGGCCCCGACCCCTCCCCCGCGGCGGGGCAGCGCGCCCCCGGAGCTGGGCATCAAGTGCGTGCTGGTGGGCGACGGCGCGGTGGGCAAGAGCAGCCTCATCGTCAGCTACACCTGCAATGGGTACCCCGCGCGCTACCGGCCCACGGCGCTGGACACCTTCTCCGGTACGTTTCCTGGCCCCGGTTCCGTGGCCTGCGGCCGCGTCACTGGGGTGGGGGTGGGGGGGAGGTAGTGTCCTCCTCGGGCTAGGCCGGTGGTCTGGCGGGAGGACCTAGAAGGCCCCCTACCCTCCAGGACGGGAGGCGGGAGCAGGGCACGAGGGGCGCTGGGCGTCCCCACTCACGTCGCTTCCCGCCTCGCCCCTGCAGTGCAAGTCCTGGTGGATGGAGCCCCCGTGCGCATTGAGCTCTGGGACACGGCGGGACAGGTGAGAAGCCGGGGCGGCCCCTACTGGTCTGGGGAGGCGGGCTGGAGGCCGAGGCGGACCCCAGGTGCGGCAGTGGAGAAGGGGCCGCGAGCCCTGGCTTAGCGGCCCCGGGTCTCCGGGCGACAGTCAGCCCGCTCCCCACACCCCGCGCCGGGGAACGTTATCCCGCTACTGACCCGTCCTTCCCATCCCAGGAGGACTTCGACCGCCTGCGCTCGCTCTGCTACCCCGACACCGACGTCTTCCTGGCTTGCTTCAGCGTGGTCCAGCCCAGCTCCTTCCAGAACATCACGGAGAAGTGGCTGCCCGAGATCCGCACGCACAATCCGCAGGCGCCCGTGCTGCTGGTGGGCACCCAGGCCGACCTGAGGGACGATGTCAATGTACTGATTCAGCTGGACCAGGGCGGGCGGGAAGCCCCGGTGCCCCAGCCCCAGGCCCAGGGCCTGGCTGAGAAGATCCGGGCCTGCTGCTACCTCGAGTGCTCGGCCTTGACGCAGAAGAACTTGAAGGAGGTGTTTGACTCGGCCATCCTCAGCGCCATAGAGCACAAAGCCAGGCTGGAGAAGAAGCTGAACGCCAAGGGTGTGCGCACCCTCTCCCGCTGCCGCTGGAAGAAGTTCTTCTGCTTTGTCTGACTGTCGTGGCAGCGGAGGGGGCCATGCACCAGCGGCCGCAGATTTCTGGAACCTGGGGTCCCCCGCCTTTGAGGGGGGCTCTTGGCAGATCTAGGCCACTCCATGGGACTCAGTTCCTTACTGAACACTGTGGGGCAGGGGCCTCTGCTCACCAGGGGCGGGCCTGTGGGCCAGGAAGAGAGACAGCTCTGGCTTGGATTTGTGTGGTCACGGCTCAGAGAAATCCCAGTACTTTGATTTCTCTGGGAGGGTCCTAACAGTGTCAGACAACTCCAAGCCTTTCCGAGATCTGATTCCTGGCTTCTTGTGGGTTGAAGCCCATTAGGCTGATAGGACCCCTTCTGGTGGTCCCAGCACCTTGTCCGTACTGTAGTGAGCAGGAGCCCAGGGAACGTCGGGCTGGGCCTCTTGGAAGGCTGGAAGGTGTGTCCAACACCGGTTTGAAGAGATGATTAGAGTGGACAGAGATTAGAGTGAGCAGAAAACTTGACCTCCGTGCCCAGGGAATGGAGGCAGACTGTGGGGCTGGGGGTGGGGAGCAGGAAACGGCAGGATATGAGCAGAGAAGTGGGGCAGCTGAGGAGCTTGGCTGACACCTGGGCTGCCCTCAACCCCCAAGGCCAGGGAGGGCGGGGCTGGTCCCTGGGAAGATGTGGGTCTCAGGGCTCCCTCAGCACTGCCCAAACTGGCTGGGCCAGGAGTCAGGCAGGAAGTAAGCAGCAAGGCCCAGCAAGAGGAGTGGGGGAGGAGCTACAAACCAGAGTCTTAAGGTAAAAAGAGCTGGGGGTCACCTTTCTCCAAGGTCACAGCCTGGAAGGTTTTGCGGGCCGGTGGCGCCTACAAATAAAGTCTGAGTTTCTAAAGCTGCTGTGTCTGTGTCATTGTCTGGACTGGCCCACCGGTGACTTTCTGCTGGACCTCACAATGCCCAACTGCTTCATCGGAGACGGCTTGATTGCCATAGGACTGAGGCTCCTGAAAGGGGCTTGTGTGTGTGTGTGTGTGTGTGTGTGTGTGTGTGTGTGGAGGGGGGATATACGCCACACTAGATGGGACAGGGTGATGGGAACGAGACTGGGTGGGGTGGGGGGCAGATGTGGGGCTCCCCACTTGGGGCTTAGCTGGTTCCCAGGAGAGGTAGCGTGGGAAGCAGCCTGGAAACGGGTTTCCCCAGGTGTCAGCGCCAGACCTGCTTTCCCATGACCTCACCAGGCGGGGTGCCCCTCCCCTCTCTCTCTCCCTCCCTGCTAAGCACTCTGCTCAGCACTGGGGATCTGGGGCAGCCCCGAGAGCCCTCCTCTCTCCACAGAAGCCAGGATCCGAACCTGAGCACCGAGAGATCCCTTAAGTCTTAATATCTGGGCAAACATCTTGAACTTGGGTTAGGTGAACTTAGCTTTTGGCTTTGGCACACAAAGTCCACATAAAAACCTAGTGAAGGTCATGGTACCAGCTGTAAATAACTGAAATAGTTTGGGTCAGGGACTAGAACTACATAATACAGCAGGTAGGGCATTTTGCCTTTCACACAGCTGACCTGGGTTCCATCCCCAGCATCCCACATGGCCCCGAGGGCACTGCCAGGAGTAATTCCTGAGTGCAGAGCCAGGAGTAAATCCTGAGCGTTGCTGGCTGTGACCAAAAAAGCCCCCCTACCCCCCCAAAAAAATTTTGGGCCAGAAGTCCTTTGGGAGTGAGGGTTCATTAGGAGAAAAGCTAGAGAGGAGTGGACATCCCCCTTGAGTGGGGTTGGAAGGAATTTTACTTAATCTTGGTTTTTGGTTTATCCCTGGCAATTCTCAGGTTATTCCTGGTGGGGGGCTGGAGGGATAGCACAGTGGTAGGGTGTTTGCCTTGCACGCAGCCAGCCTGGCCGAGCCAGGTTCGATTCCTCTGCCCCTCTCAGAGAGCCCGGCAAGCTACCGAGAGTATCCTGCCAGCACGGCAGAGCCTGGCAAGCTACCGGTGAAGTACTCAATATGCCAAAAACAGTAACAACAAGTCTCACAATGGAGACATTACTGGGCCCACTCTAGCAAATCAATGAACAACAGGAGGACAGTGCTACAGTGTATTCCTGGTGAGGTGTTCTGGGGTTACTCCCTAGCAGCGCTCAGGAACCATGAAGTAGACCTCCCATGTGTGAAGCATGCTCATTAGCTCCTGGGGCTCTGGAAGGACTGGAAGGAACTTTATTTTGGTTTTGGGGCCACTCCTGGCTGTGCTCAGGGCTTACTCCTGGTTCTGGGCTATTGGGTCATTCCTGGTGGACTCAGGGGACCATATATGGTACCCCAGGTTGGCCACATGCAAGACCAGTACCCTACCTGCTATACTATCGCTCCATCCCAAGGAAGGAACTTTAAAGGGTAAATTGAGGTATATTAGTTGTACTTTATTGTGCCCACAAGGAAATGAGGCCCAGAGTAAAAAGGTAGTATCTCAGCTGAGATATTATTACTCTTTCGGGGTGAGAGCACTTTGCGAGCTCTGTGGTTAGGCACAGGTGAGTTAGTTATTCCTGAGCAGAGGTAGTTCAGGCACAGCTTCGAGGTGGTACCCGCTGGGCCAGGTGAGTGCTCACCCTGTCCCAGCCCAGCACCCTTTGCAGGAAGCTCTGGAGTATGTGTGAGAAAATTTCTGTCCCTTAGCTGAGGGACAGAAATCCCAGCCAAGTGAAACCTCAGCTAATCCCCAGGTTGAATTTTAGCCCAGACTGTCCACTTCCGGCCCTGCCAGGGCCAATCTCCCAGGGCTCCAGTCACCTTTCCTCCCTGGGCCCCCTTGTTTCCTGGGGTGCAGGTGTCTGGTTTGACCATCCTAAACAGGTCCTAAAAGGTCTTTAGCCCAGCTCGGTAGCCTCTGTTTACTGCTTACTTGAGAACTGCCTGACAATCTGCTTTTGGCTGGGTTTAAGTTCAGGCTCTGGGGCTGGAGCGATAGTACAGCGGGTTGGGTGTTTGCCTTGCACGTGGCCAACCCGGGTTCGATTCCCAGCATCCCATATGGTCCCCCGAGCACCGCCAGGAGTAATTCCTGACCCAGGTGTGACCCAAAAAGAAAAAAAAAAATTCAGGCTCTGCCATTAACCGCATCTTGGACAAATCCTTTTCCGTACCCCATACCTCGGTTTCATCGTTCGTGAAATGAAGGGCTCAAATGCCAGATGAGCATTTTCAATCTGCTCCAAGGGTAGAGCTGTAGAGCTACATTGGGGTGGAGAGGGAAAACCTAATCCTTAGGACCCCTGAGTCCACCTCCAACATCTTTTTTTAAAATTTTATATTCATAAAGTTGTTCACAATAATTGATTACATTCAATATTTCAACACCAATCCCACCACCATTATACCTTCCCACTATCATTATTTCGAATTTTCCCACCCCCATTCAAACCTGCCCCATAGGCAGATGCTAGATAACGTATTTTGTATTGTTTATCATGAATAGCATGAGATGCTGTGCCATGTGCTCCAGGAATTCTAAAATTTTAAATAATTAGGAGAAATCTCTGCAGCAAGCTGCTCAGTTCAGAGATTCATTTGTGAGTTTCTGGATCATGGCTGGTAATGTGCTTAAATGGCTCCCAGAGGTAGTTTGCGGTCATGACAGCCAGGACCACATAGGGACGGGAAGATGGGAAGAGGCGACCTGTCCCCGATCCCTTGAGGCCTGGAGATTTCAGTCACTGGTCCTGTGTATCTGGGTTTTTCATTGGGCTCTGGAGGTCTGCATCTGACAGGATTCCTAGGGGGCAGGTGGAAGGATGACGCCTGCTCCCATCTGAGGCACTCCGGTAAAATTGGCCTGGCACAAGGTCCAGAGGCATCTCTGCAGTGAGCTGCTCAGTTCTTAGATCACCTCCAACATCTTTCCTATATATTTTTTTATTCTTTTAATTTTGTGATGCAGGGACTCAAACCTAGCATTTCACACATATGACACACGTGCTCCATCACTGAGACATATCCCAGGCACTTTTTCCACTCCTTTTCTTTTTTCCTTTTTTGGCAACACCTGGGCTCGTTTTTCATGCCTTCTTTGGGCTTACCCCTGGCTCTGCTCTCGGGGGTTACTCCTGGTGGGCTCAGGGGACCATATAAATTGCCAGGTGTCAAACCTGGGTAGGCCACATGCAAGGTAAGTGCCCTTGCCACGTAGTATTGCTCTGGCCTACTATTTTTTTTCTCTACTCTTGAAAGTAAAATTGAAGGTTCTGGATAAAATTGTTCTTTTGTTTTTAGCTTTGATTTGGGGATCACATATGAAAGTGCTCATGGCTTACTCCTAGCAGGGCTCAGAGGATTGTAAATGTGCAGAGGCTCAAACCTAGGTCAGCTGCATGCCAGACCCCTACCTGCTGTATTCAGCCCAAAACTGAATGTTTCTTTTGTTTACTTGTTTCTGTTTTGTTTTGGAGTCACCACTAGCGGTACTCAGGGCTACTCCTGGTTCTGTACTCAAGGATCACGCCTGGCAGGGCTGGAGGGACCAGATGGGGTGACTGGATCAAATCTGGGCTGGTCAGGGCTGGAACAATAGTACAGCGGGTAAGTCCTTGCATGTGGCTGACCCGGGTTCAATTCCCATATGGTCCCCCGAGAACTGCCAGGAGTAATTCCTGAGTGCAAAGCCAGGAGTAACCCCTGTGCATCAAAACAAAACTAACAAACAAACAAACAAACAAATCTGGGCAAGCCAAATGCCCTACCCGCTGTGCTATCCCCCCAGCCCCCAACATAAATTGTCTTTTTGTAGGGGCACACTCAGCAGTACTTAGGCGTTGCTCCGGGCTCTGCTTGAATCTTCCTACCAGTGCTTGACTCTGCAGTGCTGGGGCTGGGTCCAGGATTCCCACGTGTCAAGCATTCACTCAGTCTGTTAAACTATCTTTCCGGCCCTTTTTTCATTTTTCTTTCCTTTTGGTAAAATGCTTTTAAAAACAAAACAAAACAAAACATGCCAAGGCTTCATATATATATGGAAAATGCAATTTACCACATGGCCCTGATAAATTGTGTGTGTGCGGGTAGGGTAGGGTTTTACTCAGAGGCCTGAGAACTGCTCCCAGAAATACCCAGCCAGTCTGGCAGTATAGTCCTGATGGGGACATTCTTCTGTGCTCAGGATACACCACAAGTGTTCACATATGCAAAGCACATGCTCCACCCCTTTGAGTTATCTCCCTGGCCCCAGTAAATTTGTTTTGTAGAGGGGAGGG